GCACTCTAAATAACTAGCTTATAAAAATTACCAAGATGACTGAAAAATGCAACCATTACACCCTTTAAGTATTTTGTAAGTGCTTAATGATCGTGAATAATAAATACAGCATTCTGTGGCTTACAAACTGAGCCACACAGAGAAAAGTAGTAGGCCACGTTACTCTAAAGTCAGGCAGAAGTAAAGGCAGAGTCATACCTTAGAGACTAACAAGTTCAGAGAGGCATAAGCTTTCATAAGTGATAGCCTCCTTCATCAGACACTACAAAATCCACGTTGTAAGGGTTTGTAAAGACTGATGAAAATGATGTTCAGAAGGAGGCATTGTTGGGGGTCTTAGCTCATGGCCATTTACCTTATTATTATTTGTATACTATTTGCATGTTATGAACAATGAATGCTTTGCTAGATCGGTGTCATGACACTGACAGTTCAGGTATAACTTACTAATTTTTTTATATGACAACTTAATTCCTAACTTAGCTACGGTAATTCTTCTCAGAACCAAAGAAACAAAAACAACTACTCAAATATCCCAAAATGTAATAACAACACAAATGTGACATTTGATGCTTGCTAAAAATCACTAGCTCTTAAATAGCAGGAAAATATCTAGTATATGATACTGTACAGATAAACACTAACTCAGTACAGTGAGAGCCAGCATCCTGACAGAGACATTTTGTACTTTACTACAGTTTAAAAAAAGACACGCTGCAGTGCTCCAGTTCCTGAAATATCAGATTACTGTACTCAAGACCTACCGTTTGTTGTTCAGAGCAAGTAACTTCATTACTAATGCCTGTTCAACTTCAGTCACAGAGCCCAAAAAGGATAAAAATACATTACTTAACTAACCCCACATTACCCAGTTTTGCAATTTTCTTCATGAGTGCCATCAGTTTAGCCAGGCAGCACTACAAAGAGGATGGAACAACCCTACAGGACAATGCAATTCTATGGCAAACATGGCTAACATGATCTTTCAACAGAGAAACAGGGGAATAGCATATTGGAACAGGGAGGGGATTTTTACCTCAGTATGGGGCACTGAAAAGACTAGAGTAGCACATACAATGCTAGCGTCCACATTTTTAAAATGCTAACAGATTGAAAATGAAGCAAAACAAATCATAAAAAATTATTCAAAAGCTGGAGAAAATGCCCTGCTGTTGGATACTTAAAGGGCTCGAGCTATTTAATTTAATCAAAAAGACTGAAATGACTTGATCAATATGCAAGTAACTTCATAGTGAGATAAAATGAATATTAATGAGCTCTTTAATCAAGCAAAGAAATGCACAACAAGAACGCATGCCTAGAAGTGAAAGCCTGACATTCACATTAGAAAAAGCACTTATTTTAAAGCCGTAAGGATGAGAGACCATTGGGACAAACTACTTAGGGAAGTGGTGGATTTTCCACCTCAATGTGTTCAAATAAAAAGAATGGGATTCTAAATTCTCTTTGTACAGTTCTGGAAGATAATTGCTTTTTCACCAGCTTTTTCCTCATTATGCCCCACAATTGTTTTAAAAAATCAGGTATCTTCCTGCTAAAATTAGGGTTCCCATCTTCCATTCAGCCACCTGGCTATCCACCTTGCCCCTCGTGCCCAGAAGGCTCTGGATAGGGTCACACAGAAGACCTGTGCTATTCACTCTGCATATGCAATTTCATAGGTTGCGTTAGCATGGCTCCACTGGGCGCTGTAATTCACAGGAAGTGCTGATTTTCCAGCAGTCACTTCTCTTCTGAATATTTGAGCTACTGCATATTCTGGCAGAAGTTTGGTCAATGTTCAATTATATTCCACTTCTGAGACTGGACATGTTGATAGTGTTCCAAAACAAGTTTGATTACAGGAGAGCCAGAACAAAAACACAGAACTAAATGAGTGTTTGAGAGTGCACTGATATTGTAGTTTTAATACTGTTGTAGTTGTCACATTTACATGTTCTTAATTATCAACTTCTATTCTACATGGTTAAATTATATTTATTTTGTGACTTTGTAACACTTTCTCCTAAGTAAGCTATTTTTAAAAATCCTTTATATGTTGACTCTGACAACATTAGAGTTTTTGTGGAATGTGACAATTCATGATAGTTTTCTCCTCATCCATATCCAACATCTTTAAAAAAAAGGGAGATTAACCTTTTGAGAGAGTACTAAGGATATAATAATCTAATGACATGGACTCTTTTCCATACAGAAATGCCTGACCTTGACATATTGGGAAAAGTGTATTTGTAGTTAAACTTCTATTGCAATAAGACTATCGAGAACCAAATACACAAATGCCAAAATGCTACCAATAACATACTGGCTGTAATAAGGCTAGGGAAACTTCAGAACAAGAAATAAGAACTTTGAACATTTGGTGTTCAGTGGGCGCATCTACAAATGCAATTGATGCACCTACATTTTCTGTGCAGAAATTTCAGGCACATTAAATTGCATCCCCCACACATAACTGAACATGCTCCCGTCAGGAGAAAATTTGCTTCTGATGGGACTGATTCAGACTAGGGCTGCTCCTGCCCAGCCTGCCCCCCTGCAGCAGCCAGGGAGAGCTCCAGGCTCCTCCTGGTGCCAGCCCTGGACTGGCAGGGGCCACTGGGGCTGCTCCTGATCTCCAAAGGGTGGAGGAGAGCTGTTTGGCTGCTGGACAGCTGCCTGCCAGCCATGTGGAGATTGAAATGCCAAGCCAGGACAGCTATCCCCGCTCTCCTGTGGCCCTCTGCTGCTTAGGCTGACTGGGACCAATTTGCTCCCAGTCAACATCTACACATGCACTTTGGCACATTACTTGAATGTGCCAATTTCTAGTACCTGTACGTACAGGTACTAGAAAATGCCACATTAGACTAATCTACTGCGCAGTAATTGCTGTGTACATGTAGGCAGTAACACTTTACTGCACTTTAGATTAGTCTAATGTACAGTAAAGAGTCTTGTGTAGATATACCCTATGTGGACTAAATCTGGGTGCATGAAGCTATATCCACTTCTAAAGTTACTGAGAGCTGCACCTTAAAATTGTATTCCATTTCATAGCAATAAGGATGGTGCAAATGAGAGTTGATGTACTGGGGAGGTACCCTGTTTTTATCTTCTTTAGAATCTCTTGTTGACAATCTTATCTTGCTCCTGCCTCCTACAGCATTCTGTGCACATCTTAGCATTCTGAACAGTTACTGGAAGTCCTATTAATGCAATTATACCATTTTTTATATTTGCTCCCCATTTTTTAAATCCCCATGATTTACAGATTGGAGAAAAACAGCATTCTCTCTTTTATATTTGCATATGGCAAAGGACACAATATAAACACTTAATGAAATAGATTTTTTTCCAACTTAAATAGTTGCTTGATATATCAGGAATAAACCACTGATTAATTTGAGATGCCATTTGGTTAAATTATAACCCAAGAAAGCAAAATTTCAAAACCTTAAGTAGGTGAGAATACAAAAAGTTTCACTTGATTTTACTAGTTTGCTCTGAAGTTCAATTACACAGTCCTCTATAGAACATTTTACCCTAAAAATGGTTTATAAATGCAGAATGTTAAATAGAGAAGTATATGGTTGATTAAAACATTTTTTGTATTTGCTCAAAATCTAAAAAGCAAATAGAATTAGAACTTAAAAGATAAAATGGTCTATCAGTTGAACTAGCACTTTAAAAATATACACACTTAGGAGTATAATTGCCTTCTGGTCTCATATCATGTTTTGAAATGGTCTACTGGAAGAATAAAGTTCTACAGGAAATGAGATGCAAGGAATACTGATCTGAATTAGTCTAATAACTATGAGATAATATTTAGGTCTAAATCATCAAAATTTATTTGCTGTGTTTTAACTGAGGTTGGCTAGAACATATTAGTAAGGCCAGATGAAATAACTGTTTTTTACTAGGAACAGTCAAGCATTTAACTTACCTGAATGAAAGTGGCACCCTCTAGTGCTTCTTTTAAGTCTGAACAGCCACTGATGAGAGAGAACTGCTTTTCTGCGCTCAGCGTTCCTTTCAGCATTCCTGACTTTTCCAGCTCTCTCATTTGCTTGCTAACAGAAACAGAACACACATATAGTTAGACAACCAGCTCTTTTTACTACTTCAGAACCACAGTTAAGTGCTTCAAATTTAAAAACATTTAATAACCTTACTGTGTTTTGGCTACTTTGCAATGCCACCTTAGGTGCATTTAATAAGCTTTAAAAAGTGTTGCCAACAGTTTGAATCCTCTCAGTTAAAGGAAAGGCAAGACAGGGAGAATATTGGGGAAACCAACAGGATAGAAGTGGTAGAGAAACACACACGACCTCCCCTCCCACCTCCATACACACACAACTTTTATTATTCCTTTTCTGTCCTCCTCAAATATGGCTTTAGAACAAATGTATTTTCATCCTGGCTCCATCAAGAATCTAAGCCTGATTCTGTACCACTGAAGTAACTATTGCTTTGCTTTTTGTTCTACTGAAAAAAGGATCAGACCCTTATTATGGTGGTACTACTGGTAGAAAGAGTATCACATAATCCACCTTAAAACAGACTTTTCTGACTTTTTCACAGTCAAATTTCTCTGCAGGAATGCAATATTGCTGCATATAAAGTGTCCGCGTGGGATACTTTTTCAAAAAAACAAGAAACAATCTCTGTTCTGTCGTAATTACCTTCACAGGGAGAAAAAGTTTTAAAAGAGCTCACTAATGTAAGATTAAGAAACAAAAGGAATTATAGGATTCAAAGTCTGGAACTTGAGGCAAGACATTTTCAAATTGTAAATAAGATGCACATGTTTAAGCACTGATGGTAATTATCTGTTGATACCAGTATCCTGGGATGTGACAAACGGAGTATAAAGTGAAAGAGAATCTTACAAATCAAGACTGAAAAATCAAAAGACAACCGACTGATTAGGAGTACAATTTCTATTTAAAAAGCCATACATTTCCTTTCAAATAATATATTAACTTGTTTAATCACAAATTATTACGTTCTGTGGAGAAATTACTAGGCAAAGTTCTACAGCTTATATCCCAAAGAAAGTCAGACCAAAAAATCTAAAGCAATTCCTTCTGGCCTTAAACTATTACTCTATTTGTAAATTGTGTATGAAATTTGCTTAAGTTTCTTAGAGCACAGCTTGTGCCACTTGCCAGTATTATCAATCCCTCAATAATAGCAATTTCTGTATTAAAAGTACAGTTTGGGAAACAAGACTAGTTCAACAAAGAAAGCATTCTATGGTAGAAAAGCCTAGTTTGATAGGGAAAGTATTCTATGGAGAAATATGTTAATAAGTTTTATAAAGTATAGAAGGCAGAAAAAATGCACCCTCCAGCTGTTCAGAGAGCAGAAAAAGTAGACTGCCAGTGCAAGGCTTGTGCTTTAATTTGTACATGTGATCTTGCATACACAAATATCCTAACTAGCCATGTGTATATCCAGTTACATTATTTGGGCAAGGAATCATTATACTTAAATCAGACCATGCAATCCTATGTATTAATTTCCTTTTAATGTGATGCAAAAATGTTTATACAAGCCAGGTTCAACTCCACCTGTACCTCAGACCTCCTTTCACTTGTTGTGTCCAACCAGCCTCAATGTCCTGTCCTTTTCCTCTTACTATTTCTAGTGCATAAGGCTCCAGCAGAAGATTGGGTCCCTCGTGCCTTTCCTTAAGCACCACAAAAAACACACAGCAAGAGAGTTACCACCCTGAAGACCTTATCTAAGTAAACCAGACAGTGGGTAAAATGAATTGTCTGGAGGCACAGCAGGTCTGTAGCAGAGCCAGAAACAGACTGCAGGTTCCTAGGGTTGCTTCTTGTCCTTTTTTTTAAACAACTGCTACATATTCCTCTTGGAAACAGAATGGATATTGCAACCCTTAGACATGTGTAGTAAAGTAAAAGCTGTGTTATCCAGCACCTTACAAGCTGGCATGCTCTATTAGCCCTCATAAAAGGTAAAAGCGAAACCAGAAGTGCTTCCAGTTTCACTGAGCCCCCGCAGCCTGGGTCATGGCAGCCTGCATGGGGCCCGCCTCCCTGTCCCTCGGGGCCCACGGGAGAGGCGGTGATGTGGCAGGAAGGACAGCAATGCGGCAGGAGGGGTGGTGACGCCCTGGACATGGTGGGAGAGGCGGCGGCCCGAACAGGCAAAGACGCCTGTTCAGGCCTTTCAGTTAACCAGCATATTTTGTTATCCAGCATCCCCCATTCCCCATGGGTGCCGAATAACAAAGCTTTTACTGTATATCCTAGTGAGATCCCTGGGCTGCTGGAGTACTAATGTTCTGTTTGTAGTGGTAGCAGATGACAGAACAAGAAGCAATGGTCTCAAGTTGCAGCAAGGGAAATTTAAGTTGGATATTAGGAAAAAACTCTCTCACTAGGAGAGTGGTGAAACACTGGAACAGGTTACCTAGAGAGGTGGTGGAATCTCTTGAGGTCCCTTCCAACCCTCATTTTCTATGATTCTGTATCTGTTCCCTGACCAAGCTGCTGCTCTCCTTTCTGCTTCCTGCCTTGTGCTCCCTACCTGATCGGATGCTCTGCTTTATGCTCCCTGTCCTATTTACCACTGTGCTGTCTATCCCCTTCCCAATCTGCTACCTGCCACGTACAGGCTGCCTATGCCACTTCTGGCATTCATGTGGTAGGCTGACCACCCCTGCAATAAGGGACTTGTTATCGATCTTATTTCCTCACTTTAAAAGGTATATTAACTGATGGCTGAACCAAATGAAGAAAATGGACCAAACTGATGTCTTGGGGGTAGAAAAGCATGAAGCCACTTCTGACCTGGAATGTGCCAGATGTTTACCTGTACTCTGGCTTGTCATTTTTAATAGCCTTTTTTCTATTGATTTTAGCCTTTTCTTTAAAATAGATTCAAGTAATTTTTGTGACTATCTCTGGGAAAGCCTCATTATACAATACCCTACAGCGCCCAGAATGAAAGATAAAAATGGATCAATTACAGCAATTTTTAGCTTCTACTCTAAGAAGTGCTGTGCAAGTCTGGATAAACAGACAGACACATGACATTCCTATTGGGTCTCAGGTGGCAGTATTACAAATAGAATCCTATAATTCATTCTTTTTGTGTAGGAACAAAGCCAGAAACTTGGAAGGGGCACAACATTTTTTAAGTCAGTTTGACTTAAGGGAGTTTTGGGGAGCAAGTCAGCATATTAAAGATCCTAATTTTATATAAGGACTGAAACTTTTCTCCTCGATAAGTTTTCACATTTATACTCTGCAGGCCAAACAGGCACTGAATTCAGCCCTTTCCAACTTCTGAAACTTGGAACGGCCAAAAATGCTCTGATGGAATGTTTTTCAGAGAATGCCACTTTGTCATAATCAAAGTGTTTCATAGGGACAGTTTGATTTCAGAGTCTTAACAGAACCCAGGTATATTTTCAAACCTGCCTGGTTCTCTGCCAGCTCATCTGCCTGGCTCCTCAACAGTTCAACCTGGCTGCTGGGGAGCCCAGACTTCCAAGCTACTGTCTCTTCAGAAGCTGTCTGGTAGGGTGATAGAGAGCAGACAGCTTAAAAGCTTCAGGCGCCCAGGCTCCACTGCCAGGTGCCTGGTGGTCTGTCACATTGAGGATCCCCAAAGCTTGGAAAGCAGCTGGAGAGGCATTCAAAAAGGAAGCCAGGAGCTTGAGAGATCCAATTCTAATGCAAGCCAGGACATCCAACCTTCTGGCACCCCCACATCTTGCAGGATAGACTGTTTTAAGGAAGCAGCAGTCCTGTCTCCCAAAAACCAAGACTCCTAGCTCAGCCACAACTTCCAGCTTCTGGTTTATTCTCAACCTGTCAGGTAGGATACCATGAGACACAGCAGCCGGGAAAGTCTCCGTATACAACTATACTTCCTGTTCACTATCCCAGTCAGCACTATGTCAAAGTATGCTGCGCACTGCATGTGTGTTATCTTCTGAATCAGCAGCCTCACAGCAGCAGACAGGCTAAATAGCTCTGCCTCTTATCTAGGATTGTAAATAGCAATTAAGTAAGTACCCTTTTAAACTCCCCTAATGTTATCAGTTAAACAGTTAACCAGTAACATGTATCCAGCTGGGATCAGCCCCTACCTGTACTCACTTCTTCTCTGGGTGGCAGCAGTGGGCTGGGAAAGCACCTCACCTGCTGAAGTAGCCCACGGCTTTATAGGGCTGTGGTGAGGTTTGCTGCTGTGCCTGCATCCATCCCCAGCCTCCGGCAGCCACACGCTGGTGGCAGCAGCAAGCTGGGAAAACCCCTTGCCCACTACAGCCACTGGTGTGCAGCTGCCCAGGAGCAGGGGCTGCAGGGTCCACAGAGCCCTGTCCTGACTCATTGCTGGCAGCAGGCGTACCTGTGCCTCGGGGCAGATGATGGGGAAGGAGCCAGGGCTGTACTGCCACAAGAAGAATCGGGCCCCTCGCAGTTTCCCTGCCATCCATCCCAAGGTACATGTACACCTGCCACTGGCAATGAGCTAGGCCAGGGCTCCACAAACCAGTGCAGCCGCTTGAAGCCTCCCCACTGCCTTCCACAAGCAGCCTGGACTCCAGGTAGGCCCCCGCTGCCAACCACAGAACCCAGGCTGCTTGTGGTAGGCAGCAGGGAGGGCTGCAAGTAGCTGCACTGGGGTCCGTGGAGTCCCAGCTCAGCTCATTGCTGGTGGCAGATGCATGCACACCTCAGAGTGGACAGCACAGAAGGGGCCAGGCCTGTGCTGCCACAAGAAGGACCAGGCCCCTTGCAGCTCCCCACAATACTAAGTACTAGTCCTCCCTCCCCCTTCTTGCTCCTCCCCCCTTCCTTCTTGCCTGCCCTGCCTCCTTCAGAGACACTGCACTGTTTCCCTTTCCCCACCTCTTCCCTACTGAACTGCTCCCCACCCCATGCTAAATAATAACTGGTAAGATATTATTGGTTATCAACATGTAAACATTTAACCATTCACATCCCTACTCTCATTGGAGATAAATACTTAAAGGCAAAAATCGTTGTGGGTGAGGAAGATACTGTGATACTCAGAAGCTTATCTA